TGTGTCTTAATGTTATTGGTACAAATTTGTGAAGAAAACTGTACAGTATGTACTTCTGTGGGATTTCAGTCTTTAATTTTGTGAAACTGGTTTGTTTTGTTGAACCTTTATTTTTTCCCCCCAAAAACGGTAGCACCAATTTGAATTATATAAGTAATGATTTAATAAGGAGATCTTTTTTTTTTTGTTAGTTAGCTGTGTAATATTATTTCTCTAGGTCAGAAGAACCAACTGTTATGAACAGGATTTCAGTCTTTAATTTTGTGAAACTGGTTTGTTTTGTTGAACCTTTATTTTTTCCCCCCAAAAACGGTAGCACCAATTTGAATTATATAAGTAATGATTTAATAAGGAGATCTTTTTTTTTTTGTTAGTTAGCTGTGTAATATTATTTCTCTAGGTCAGAAGAACCAACTGTTATGAACATTTATTAATAGAATAGACAGTGTGATAATTAGTACATCATACTGGACAAAGTTAATTATCAGGGTAGATTTTAGTCTGTCTTCATGAAGAAAAGATGTTAAGTTTATAGAGGCCATAATATTAAAGGATGTTAACTTCATAAATATATCTACAATTCTGTGTCTCATTTATTTCTGTGTAATGTATTGAATAGGCATAATAGGACTGCATAGTTAATAGAGCTGTGCAGATCATTTGATGAGGCAAGTCTGAGATGGAGGAAGCAGCTCAAGGTGCCACAGACGAATATCAACCTCAAGGGGAGCCTTTCAATCAGGCACCTGAGGCTGACATGGCTGAAGAACATTTGAGACAGCCGGAGGCAGCAGTAGATGAGAGGCCAGATTTGGGACCTGCTCCCAGTTCTAGAGCATGCAGAACCAAGTGCAGAGCAGAGCAGAGGAGATCTGTATGGTTCTCACACAGCAAAGATGTTCATGCCCTTGATTGTCTGAACTTGGCGTGGGCTCCATTTAAAAGCCATCACTGTCCAGTAATTCTCTGTTGGGAACAAGTGCTCCACTTGCCTGAACTTTGCATATTTGTTTTCTGAATCTGTTGCTTAAGAAAACTCTACTGCTTGAAACCTGGCTTGGCTGATAACCCATGTTTGGGGCTCTTGGATGTTTTACTTTGATCTGATAATACTTCCACCCTTTCCTTTGGATTTGGTTTGAATGCTTGCAAGTTATTTATATTCTGGAACTTGTGGGAGTATATGCATGCATTTGCAAACAAAGCCCATTAGCCCTGCTTTAGAGTAAAATGAGCAATTCTGTTATGCATGTGTCATTTGAGGCAAAACATGACCTTTTGGATCTATCTCTGAAGCAGCTCTGCCACCACAGCTGTTCAACAGCTCAATATGGCTGCTTCCAGGCTCTCCCAGCATCTTCTGGGTATGTATGTGCATGCTCAGATGACAGCAGGGAGGACCTCAAAGCAGCCATTCCAAGCCTTTAAACAGCTGCAATGATATTATGGCCTTGAGAAGGGCATCCAGAGAGGTGTTTCAGCCATATGGGTTCCAAATGCCTAATAGCTAGTTTAAGGGACTTTTGCTAGCAGCATTAAGAATAGGTTTGTGTATTTTTGTAGTATTTTCTGCTTTTTAATCTCTTAATAATTTAATTGCAGTAGGTGTGCAAAGACTTCTTGTTGGCCAGACTGTCATCTTATTATTGTTCTTTATTTCTCTTGCTCTTGTTTTTCTTGTTCTTCATTTATTTTGTTTTTATTATTCATATTTTATTTTATTGTAGTTATATTGCGAGTCATCCAGAGTTGACTGGAGTCAGGTGGTGCATAAATTGAATAAATTAAATTCAAATTAAATTATTTCTAGAAACATTTTGAATACTGCTTTGAAAAAAATTTGTTTCATGAGGTGTTGAATTTAAACTGCTACATTTCAGCCATGTCATTCTTGCTGTCACTCAGCTTAGTGATTGAGCCATATAACTTTGAAGATTAAAGGCAATTTTATATTCCATTTGAAATTTTTATTTAATATGAAAGCTTTTTTATGTTATGGAGTTTCAGTGAAGTTTATGCTGAATAAGAAGCTTTTGTAACATTATGTACTTAAATGTTTTCAGAGTTCCTCTTCAGCATACAATTCTCAGGAGGTGAAAACTCAACAATCTTCAGCAGCTACTGATCAAAATGACGCAATTGTAAAACTATTCAATGATTTTGATGTTAAAGAAACATCTTACCATGTAGCAATTTCTCATTTAGATCTGCATATCTGTGATGATATTTACACCAAGGAAAAAGGTAAGAGTTTTATTAAGTAGCTTTGTGATTGACCAAAATTGTATGATTCTGTGTTAAACTACTATATATTTCCAGTTTATTCTGTTCATACACTTTCAGGTACATACACTAGTAGTTAAATATTGGTGCATAACAATATCTTCATGTAATTACTCTGCTGTTTCAATAGTAATTTATGTAATAAGACACAAAAGGGATTGAAAATGTTAATGGCTTAGGGAGCTTAAACCATTAGCCTAATTAAGCAATAATTAGATAAGGCTTCATCATTTCTACTACTGATGTTCATAATGTTCATATACCAGTAATCTATACTTGTAGATGCTGAGAATTTATATTTGCATCTAATTTATTTTTAAAGCACTATGATGTGCAAATAATAACTGGAGGTTTTCAATTTAAACTGATGAAAAAGAAAAAGGATGAGGATTTATTCCATGATGTTTCATAAATGCTTCTGAAACAGGCTGGGTTATTTGACAGTTTCTAACTAAGTAGTTTACTATTGCAAAGATTGTTTGAAAGGAAGAGATATACATTCAAGGGAACTGCTGGCCGTGAGGCTGGCAATTATGAAAATGCTCCTCTTCCTATCTTTCATAAATTGATAATTTTAGTACAGTTCTTAGAGGAGAGCAAGACAAGTTCAGCAAATATGCATTTTTTTCAGAATGCCCATCTGTGGGTAGAAGCTAATGAGGGCTATAAGAAAGAACCAACAGAAATTGTGTATCTCCGTTAGCGATACTCAAGCTGTGCTTAATGAAGCTATGTGCTATACCTACTATGACAGATTCAGATTTGCTATGAGAGTGGTAGTACTGAGATTTTCTTAAATGTAAGGAATTTTCACAATTCTGGAAAAATCAAATAAAAGAAAAGGCCACAATAGAAATCAGTAGAGTATTGTTCAGTTGCTGTTGGCTCATTTTACAGTGCAGCAGTTTTGAGAGCCACCAAGAAGAGAAGCATATTGCTTTAAATGAACCAAAAATTTTCTTCCAGAGGAAATAAATATGAACTGTGACATGATTATGCATTGTATTATTTTATAGATGCAAACAGGCGTGTTTCAGGAGGTGCTATGCAGCTGTCCTTTAGTCAATTAACTGTTGACTACTATCCTTTTCACAAAGCAGGTAAATGTTGATTTCTGTTTATTGGTTGTAAAAATGCTTGATCAGCACTTAATTTTACCACAATATATCTCCCTGCATATGATCTGTTATTGACCAAAGTGGATTGAGTGGTGTGAGGATGCTGCAGATATGAAGCTTTATACAATAGGTTATATTGTATACAATGTGATCTGAAGGGAATTACATTTGTCTCCCTTGTCATGGTTGGATCATACCCTGGTGGCCTTGAGATTCTCCTATACTATCCCCCTCCATGGGGAGGTGGGACCCATTCCATTGGTTCGCCCCTGGCGACTGATGGACCCAATGGGGTTCCAAAGGGAAATGGGGACTATACCCGAGGATCTGCTGCATGGTCCAGCAGAGGTTGTAGCCGCCACCTGGAATAGGAAGGTGGCTGAGGCCTTGGACAAGATCGCACCCGTGCAATCTCTCTTGACCCATCGAGCCTGATACTTCCTATGGTTTACAGAGGAGTTGAGGGTCCTGAAAAGGATGTATAGAGTGCTGCTGGAGGAAAACAGGGACCAAATCTGACAGAACACAGGCTAGAGCCTCTATTAAGGCCTACCTTGTGGCGGTAAAAGTGGCAAAACATCAACACTTCTTCACTCTTATTGCATCTGCAAAATGCTGCCTGGGGGCCTTGTTAAAGATCATCCGATCTCTTTTGGGAAAGGTGGGCCCAGTGACCCACATGCCGGGCCATGCAGAGGAGTTTTCTGGGCAACTGGAGGATAAAATCTCTTGAATATGTTCCCGGTTGGATACCAAGCGTGTGGTGTGGTCTGTGGAGATGCCTGGGGTACGTATTTACCCTGTTATCTGGGAGCAATTTGATCCTGTTGGACCTGAGGAAATGGACAGGGTCCTCCAGGCTGTAAATGCCACCACTTGTCAATTAGATCCATGTCCCTCCTGGCTGGTTAAGGCAGCTTGGGAGGTGACGTGTGGGTGGGTCCAGGCAATGGTGAATTCATCCTCAAGGGAGGGAGTGTTTCCAGCAGCCTTTAAAGAGATACTGGTGTACTCCCTCCTCAAGAAACCATCGTTGGATCCCACCATACTGGACAATTTTTGTCCAGTCTCCCACCTCCCCTTTTTGGGAAGGTGGTTGAGAAAGTGGTGGCGTTGCAGCTCCAGAAGATCCTGGATGAAATGGATTATCTGGACCCTTTTCAGTCAGGTTTCAGGCCCAGATATGGGACAGAAACAGCATTGGTCACACTTTTGGATGATCTCTGGCGGGGAAGCTGCTTGGACAAGCAGTGAAACATATCTAACCAAAAGAAAAGGAGTCCAGCTGCCATTACTCAACCTCCAGATAATTCCACCTGGACGACTGAGAATTTTCATCAACATACTGCATTCATCCTTGCTCTTCTTGACCTCTCAGTGGCTTTCAATACCATCAACCATGGTATCCTTTTGGGTTGGCTCAGAGAGTTGGGGGTAGGTGGTACAGTTTTGTGCTGGTTCACCTCCTTCCTCCAGGGCTGGTCCCAATCAGTATTGATAGGGAGCGAGAGGTCCACCCCGTGGCCCCTCCTTTGTGGGGTGGCGCAGGGTTCGGTATTTTCCCTGCTTCTTTTTAACATCTACATGAAACCACTGGGTGAGATCATCCGCCACCATGGGATGAGGTATCATCAATATTCAGATGATACCCAATTATACATCTCCATCCCAGGTGATTTGAATGATGTTGTGACTACCCTTTTGTGATGCCTGGAGGCAGTGGGGGCCTGGATGGGGAACAACAGGCTTCAGCTGAACCCTGGTAAGACGGAGTGGCTGTGGGTTGGGGGCTCCTCTGTATCTGGAAATTTACCACCTTTGGTTCAGGATGGGGTTGCAGTACCTCAGACAGATCCAGTGCATAATCTGGGAGTCCTCCTGGACTCACGACTTCTGCTCGAGGAGCAGGTGGCAGTCATGGCCAGGAGGGCTTCGCTCAACTACGTGTTGTGCACCAGTTACGCCCTTTCCTGGAATGGGAGGCCCTCCAGTCAGTCACTCATGCCCTAGTCATTTCCCTTATAGACTATTGCAATGCGTTCTACACGGGGCTACACTTGAAGAGTATCCGGAAACTACAGCTGGTTCAAAATGCAACCACGTGGGCAATTTTGGGTGGCCCAAAGATAGCACATATTACACCTTTCCTGCGGAAGCTGCATTGGGTGCCAGTTTGCTTCCAGGTCCAATTCAAGGTGTTCGTTATCACCTTTAAAGCCCTACATGGCACAGGACTGGGTTACCTGAGGAACCGTCTCACCCCCATTATATCGACCGATCTCACCCGGTCAAGCAGTAGTGTTCTGAGAATTTCACAGTTATTCTTAGCAGCTCTTAAAAACAATCTTTCCCAGTAAGTTGGCATCCTGATGTCTTCAATCACTACTCTCATCATCTCCATCCAGCAACTCCAAGGTTATTGTGAAGCTGGAAAGGATTTGAAAAGGATAATAAAAATCATTAGGTTGGAACTTCATTCCTGTGAAGAAAGACTTCAATGTTTGGGCCTTTCTGGTTAGACAAGTGTGATTATGATGGAGTACTGGAAGTTGTGGTCATTACAGTGCTTTATAGAATTATATATGGAATGGAGAAAATTCTAGAGAGGCTTTTTTCCTCTTGTGATACTAGAGTTTAGAGTTATCCAATACAACTGACTGACAGGGGATTCAGCAAAAAAGTATTTCTTCACACAGCCCATATATAACATACATATAATTTGGGTTGTTATGATATGATAAGGGCTACCAGGTTCGATGGCTTGAAGGACATTGGATTAATTGATGGGGGATGAATCTATCAGTGACTATTGAGCATGATACAGGTAGTAGACTTCCAGGTTTTAAGGACACTCTGCCCCTGAATACCAAGTTTTGAAAAGTAATAATGGAAATTTATTAGAGAGCTCAGGGCTGCTTCATGAGGCATGTGATGGTCACTAACTAAAGTGTCGTGGAAGTAGAATGCTGGATTAGATGGATCTTTGAGATGGTACAGTAAGGTTTTTCCTAAATTCATTACATCTTTACTGCCTTAATATTGATGTTAGGCATTTACAAAGTAGAATCTGTAAGAATAATTTAAATAGCCTCAAATGTTTAATGATAAAATATTTTAAATGGATTTCACTAGATGCTTAAATTCCTTCTCATTTATGTTAAATGTATAACAATTTAGATGAGAGCTGCAGCCATTGGATGCATTACAGTGATGCTACAAAAGCCAGAAGTGAATGGGCAGAAGAACTGCTGCAAGAGTTCAAAGGAAATGTTGAATTGCTTAAGCAGGCTGTGAAGGATCACAATTTAGATTCTCCAGTTAAATCCCCATTTCAGGAGTCTCCGCAGCATATGCAGATAGGTATTTAAGATTTTTCATTTACTTTTACAGTCTGTCTGTGGACATAGATCCCATTAGTTTGACTTGATTAGAAACACTAATATAGTTGGCAGTTCTCTCTGTGCTCCTGTCTGTGCTCCTGCCCTCTGAAGATGCTGGTCACAGATGCTGGCGAAACGTTAGGAAACAAAACTTCCAGAAAATAGCCACACAGCCCGGAAGACCCACACCAGCCATCGTATTCCGGCCGTGAAAGCCTTTGACAATAACTAATATAGTTGCTTTGGACTAATTGGGCTATCTTTCCTTATATTTTGGTAATCTTTCTCCACAATATATTGTTCTCTTCCATGAAGGGATAAAATTGACTTGGGAGACTGATGCTTATAATTGAGAAGGTAAATAACTCATTAGGTTCCCAATCCTGTATGAATTGTGCAATTAATGAGTGATTTTGATACTGCTTCCTTTCATTGCTTCCTCTTACTGAAAGTTTAGTTTATTTTAATTATTTTTGTGTTACCAACAATATGAGTAGAAGGGATTTCAGATAAGGTAAACTACAGTGTATGTGGTTTTATGCTTTTTGTTTCTTATAGGCAAGGATCAAATGTCAAAAGGAATTTCTAAGACTTTTGGGTCATCACAGCAGCCAAAGGAAAAATTGATGTCCAGCCCAGTGGTAGTTAGACTTGCAGATGTCAATTTTTATCAGGTACATTTAAGTACTAATTGCTGCAACAAATTAATATTACTTTTTTTTCATGTCCAAAATTATAATGAGGCTCTTAATACAAGTGTTGACTTTCATTCAAGATGACAGAAATTTTGCCAAATTAATTTTTGGAGTAAAGGGACATTTTTCTTATTCCAAACTGTTTCTGATCGTTTTTAGTAGTACGATTGGCAGAACAATTCTTTGATGAGATTGGAGTGCTTTAATGGAACATTCTGTCATATTCAGTTACTTTTGCTCTGCTAGGCGATAGCTAGCAGAATGAAAATAAGGAGCTATTTGCTGGTTGATTTAAAAAAAAAATCATTGCAATTTAATTCGTATGCAGTCCTCACCATGCCCCTCAGGAGATTTCTGAGGTCAGGAGAGGTTTTTTAAAAATATTATTACAATTGACTTTATCTTGATCTTAAGTTATAATTATTTTTAATCTAAGCCACCTCTAGAATTTTTTTATAAATAACACATAGCTCTCCATATCTGATTATAACAAGCAAGCAGTTCTTTACCATAGGTTTTTGACTGATGAAAAGTATCAAGTTTGCTGCATCTCAAAAAGAAATATAGTTTGGATTATCCTGTTTGAAGATGTAACAGATGGGTTAATTTTTCTGTTGTGCTATATATAAAGCTTGTTAAACTACTCATCTTAGGATATAGATCCCTGCTTCCAGTAGGAGGAGAGATCTGATGTTGGATTTAACTCTCTGAGATGACATTTTTGTCTTTCATCTCAGAAGGAGGAGGAATCCTACAAAAGTTGCTGTCCTGGGTAAACAGGGCTGCACTTCATCAATTTTCCTTAAGCTGAACCTTCCCTATGATTATGTAATCTTTGTAAATTACAGTATTACATATTCTGATGTTAATATAAATGTTTTCTGTCTTTCTAGCTAATGCTGTAAATGGTTAATAGAACCTCTGTATCTGTATTTCAGGCAATCTAGATTTATTTTTCTCATTTTTCTTATTGATGGATTTAAATGTATAAAATGTATGTCAAAACTGTAAGCTTAAAGACATGTTAAGTTATAGTACATATGGTACATAAATAAATTGTTAATATATAATTTTTAAGTTGTTATATTTTATGTAATATAAAAACAAGTCTTTTAACTGATTTTAACACCATTGGAAGCAAACTAGGCAAAGGGCTCAGTTATACAACTGTTTAAAATTAAGACATAATTATTGAAATATTAGAGCATATTGGGAATGACATTTCCTGAAGTGTTCTCTACAAATCCAGTACCATGGACCAAGTGGTGTAAAAGGCCACAAAAATAATCTGTAATTGTCTTCTTCAGGTTATTAAAATGAAAATCTTTTTTCCTAATAACTGTGAAAAGTGACAGATGAGAAGTTGTTAACACTTGTGCTTCACAAAACCCAAATGCTGAATTTCTTATTTTCAGGTCTCTACAGCAGACCAGTGTCGCCGTTCTCCTAAAACTCTTATTTCCTGCAATAAAAAGTCTCTGTATCTCCCACAAGAAATGCCAGCCATTCATATTGAATTCACTGAATACTACTATCCAGATGGCAAAGACTTTCCTAGTAAAATATTTTCTTATCTTTTTCCCTTTCTTAAAAACATAATTGTTTTGGAAGTAGAGTGGAGCCTCAATTTAATGGACTCCTATTTAGTGGTTTCCAGATACAATGAACCATATTCCTATCTGGAAATGCCCTCCAAATAATGACAAGCCCTTTGCATCCAAAATAGTCTAAACTCGGCAGTTAAATTTATGTCATATTTTCCTTAATTTTATGACGTCTGCAGCAATTTATGTCATTTGCTTAATGTCGTAGCACAGATCATGCTCTTTGTATAATTATGTTGGTATACAAAAGATGCAAACCACTGCAGGTTTCATATTAACAGACATTTGGGAATAATGGATATCCCCCGCTCTATCCATTAAAATGAAGTTTCACTGTATATTTCTCCTATATATAGGGCAGAGTATATTTCTAGGAGATACATCTGACTTATCAAAAGACTGTAGTTAGATAGATGTTGATAAACCATTTGTAGATTCTTTCTAACTTTGCAAAACATAAAAAAATATATATATATAGTGTTAGATAAACTGACTTTCCATTGTTTTCCTATACCTAATCCTAGCATTTCATGTTCAAGATTAGAATTCCTACTCATATGGCATGTGCCAATATGTTTTTTTTTTCCTCAGTGATGTTATAATAGACATGGTCTATTCATTGCAACCTAGGAGGAAAGAGAAGTTGGAGGATTATATCATACAGGAAGTTTGACAAACATTTTAGAAATATTTAGTATATGATTAAAAAGTTCTGTGCTAAAATATTGCTTAATTTTTTTCTACTTTGATATTGTCAGTGCTCTTCTTTAAAATTGTTATATTATTATTGATTATATTATTGCCCAAGATATAATGAAAAATTACCGATGTGTAATAATATGAAGATTTTGAAGGGAAAATAACACTGTCCTTGCAGTGTTCTTTGTCCAAAGATGCAGCACCTTTTTTTTCCCCACACTAATCAAATATTTAAATGCTGGTAAAGAAAACTGAAGTGTTTAGTCTTGATTTTTTCTATTGTACGTTGATGTAGATTTTTCAAATAGTTGCAGACGGTTATGTGCAGCTGTTAATGCCCCACAATTTTGCTTCTACCATGTTCTCTGTACATTTTTTGTAAGTTTATAGGGAGTGTCTATATAATGATCATGACAGGTTGAAAATTTTTCCATGAACTGCTTTTGAACAAAATTTACATACTTTAAATTTTATCAAGTTGCATACTTGCTCAAGTAGACATGTGTATAAATAATCTTGAGGGTAGGTGGATGGTGAGAAATGCCTTCACTCTCACCAGTAACAAGTGTTTGGGGTTCATTTATACAAAATATAGTAGGTTTTTAAAAAAACACAATAGTCATATAAATGTATTAGAAATATATATGTACTTGAATAATATTTGCATTAGATAAGT